ACAAAAGTTGTACCTCTTAAAGGGAACACGCCTGTTTAACATGCTTGGGATCTGTAATTATAATAATCATTTTAAAGCTCTTTTGACATGTAAAGTGACGTATTTCTTTTATAATTCAACTGACAGACAAAACCTGTTAAAGGAAAATATCCTAAATAAAAAAAAAGTGAACTCACCCTCAGGCTTACACATTAACTGCAACACCAGGATGTAAATGATAAAATGGTGATGGTCGAGTTTTAAATGTTTAAAAACAGTATCTCCAAATATAAAGTGCAGTGGGCAACTGGAAAAAAAAAAAAAGCATTTCCTGCGAAAGTGCAGCTGAAAGCTGAATATTTTTAGTGACAATTGCAGAAGCATCTGACGTCAACGGCAGAAGACGTGCAGAGAAGTAAGAAATGGGCAGAAGCAGTAGAATAAAGCAAAATCCTGTAAAATGCAAATGGAAAAACTGCAGAAGAATGAAAAATTCCACCCAAGGAATATTAGAAATTCATTCTGCTTACGAAGCTAAACTGTAAAGGTCACATAAGCTAAAACTAGCAAAAATAATAATGGTAGCATCCACTCTATAGTGTGAAAAAACCAAGAAATGTAATGAGGAGAAACATTGAAAAAACAAAACAGTCTGCAATCTTCTTTCAAAGAAAAACTTTCTGCTTATCATAAGTTGGCTAAAGCATATATAGATTATGCTAATGGTTGTGGGTCACCATCATGTTTTTATAACATTATAGTGTGATAACAGCAAGGTGTGAGGTGTTAGCTACAATATTAGATGACATTCTGGAATTAGGGTCGGATTGGGAACCCTCAAAGCTAGTGGGCCAGTGGTTTTTTTTTTTTTTTTTTAAATTTTTAAGAGGAATTTTATAAAATCTGCATATGAACCATGAAATCTCGTTAAAGTCGTTCTCTGTGGGATCAGATTCGAGAAGAGGATCTACATCCCTCTCCCGGAGGAGCCGGCCCGAGCCCAGATGTTCCGACTTCACCTTGGCAACACGCCACACAGCCTGAGCGACGCCGACCTCCGCGAGCTCGCGCACAAAACGGATGGCTACTCGGGCGCCGACATCAGCATCATCGTCCGGGACGCGCTCATGCAGCCGGTCAGGAAAGTCCAGTCGGCTACTCACTTTAAAAAGGTACTAAGGCTCAGAAGCGGCGTGAACCGCCGACCTCCTGGATGTCATGTTTGATGTTTCAGATCTCTAATCTAGAGTTCAGGTTGAATGGTTTTCATTTCTGAAAAGGAGTCTCTGTTTTGTTTTGTTTTTTCTTACTTTCCCTGCAGGTTCGTGGTCCGTCCCGAAGCAACAACCAGGTGATGGTGGATGACCTGTTGACCCCGTGTTCCCCTGGAGATCCTGCAGCCATAGAGATGACCTGGCTGGATGTGCCTAGTGATAAGCTACTGGAGCCCATAGTTTGCATGGTGAGAGACGACGACGAAAAATATGTTTGAAACCTTGAAGTAAATCAATGTTTATCATCGACTTCTTTTGTTTTAGCTAAACTCACAGGCTTCCTGGACTATATTTATATCTGTGATTGATTTCCGAACCGTTTCTATTTAGATTTAGACAAGTAATCTGGATTATCGTCTCTTCTTTTATCTTGAGCCTTTATGGTTTTAAACAAAAGCTTTACATGTTAAAACAGGAAGAAATTCTGAGAAAACTTGGACCCTTTTGACCAGAAAATGGGCCCTTGCTGGTGGTTGTCATGGAGACAGGATGACCCTAAGACGCCACTCTTTACATTATTCTTCTATCGCCGTGCATGGTGGCAAAAATAAGCCTGGATTCCTGTTGTCATGCTCTATTTAAACTGCAAGGAGATCAAATTGATAACTAAGAGTTTTTAAAAACTGATGCACTTAAAAAATTACAATAGATTTTAAAATGAATAGGCAGGATTGCTAATAATTTAGCAACCACTAGGTTCTAAACAATTATCAGTAAATTAAACATCAGACACGAGTTTACTAAAAGAAATAAATTAACTTTGTAAGACACTTTAGACATGAAGTGACGTTAAGTAATGACCAATGATGAGTTTTCTGTATTAAATAAAAAATAAAATTTTTCAGATGTTCCAATTGAATCTGTCACCAAAAACTAAATGTTTATTATTATGGAATCAAGAAGAAATGGTCGTTTCAGTATTTTTTTTTTCTGTCAGTTTTTATGCAAAATTCTTATAAAAAAAAAACTACAACAGACATTTAAAAGTAACTTTAAACTTTGTTGCCTACCTTTCTTTATTTTCTGTTTTCACAGAAGAGGCTCTTTTCCACTAGGGGAATCATTTTGTCCTAAAATCTGAAAACAGAAATAGTTTTAGTTTCATTTTCGCAGCTTTAATAATAAAACATTTTGCTGTGGTTCCAGGTGAGTTTTATTTTGCAGCAGCTGGGAGTCGAAACATGCCTGACCCTTGATCCAGATAAATCACCAAGGTGAGATTTTGGAGCAGGAAGTGGCAGTGAATCATCATCATCTTCTTTGTCTTCCTCCTCTGCAGTCGGACATGTTGCGCTCTCTGTCCACCACGCGTCCCACAGTCAACACAGAGGACCTGTTGAAGGTGAAGAAGTTCACAGATGACTTTGGGATGGAGGGTTGAGGGATGCCGACCCCGGAGGCTCAGACCTGCTCCCAGTGACGCCACTCCTCTTCGTCCTCCTCCTCTTCCTCCCCCTCACCACTGCGTAGGCTTCCATCTCTCAGACTGGTCGACATCCTCCTGGTCTGACGTCTGTTAAATCAGGCCGCGATTACAGAACATCCGAAGGACGTTTTCCAAATGCCACATTAGACAAATCTGTGTGGTTTTTTTGTTTTTTGGTAGTTGGACAGTAGGTCTCATGTCTCTCGCCCTCATTTCTGATGATGTAACCCTGCAGAATCCTCACTACATGAACTCGGCTGCATTTTACGCTGGGAAACACTCCAAGTCCGCCCCCCTTCGCCCCGAGCCGACCCGCTCTACGACTGAAGGACTGTACGTTTTGTTGCCGTCGTGCACTTTGCTTTGGATCCACATGAAGGACCCTGATGACTGAAGGTGAAGCAGAAGTTTATCATTTCCACCAGGCATGCAAGCGTGTGAATGCATCTCAGTGTTTTTATTGTTAAACGTGCGTGTCTTAATGTTTCTGTTTAAATGTCAGGAGCCGGTTGTTCGCTTATTTAATGTCGAAGCGTGTCTGCCACGGGCCTGTAGCTGCAGGCCAGTAGCAATCTGACTGAAGAGATGTGCCAGACTGGGAGAAATACGCCTCTAGTTTTTATTGTTCCTAATCCCGGGGTGAAAAATTTAAAGATTTTCTGGTCTCCTTTTGTCACGTTGTAACAAATCAAAATATTTGAACGCTAAATTTAAAAAAACAAAACAAAAACGGTTAATTCGTTTTAGCTTTATCGATCATAATAATCATAATAAAAATTATTTTTCTGCAGATTGAATTTTTTTTTTTCCCATCTATTCTCATTTGACTTTATACCAGGAAAAAAGGAAAATCACTTTGAAATGTTGGCGTTTTGCCTGCAAAATGTCCCAATTCTTCAGTTTATCTGAATTAAGAGACGCACCGATCAGACTTTTTCTGGCCAATAGGAATTTCTGGTGGCACGTTTTCCGCCTTAAAGATTATACAGCAGAGTTGATGGAGGTCGTAGTTTTAAATTAGCGTTTCACAAATTCCATAAAATACGAGATTACATTTGAACCCAAATCTTCCACTTTTCTTTCTGTACCTTTTACACACACAGACTCGTCACACTGTGTTAGTTTTATTATAGGCTTCTGACAATAAACAGAAGAATGAGAGTCCACCCATTAACTCATTAAATATGGATAAACACAAAACGAAAGCCAGAGACTTTAAAGATAAAATCCCACCAGTGATTGCTTCCAACAGATGCCATAGCCGATATTGCAAAGACGATTTAAAATATCATGCAGCTCTACTTTGAATCCAACAGGAAAAGAAGGATTTTTCCGGAATTTAGGCATAAAATTATCATCTGATGAAGTTTTTACTTTACGCGTTAAGCAAGAAAGTTTCAGGATTTGACCTGCAGATCAATGGAGGAAAAGTGGGAAAATTCTGATTTATCTGAATGATTGAGGCATTTTGAGATCAAATGCAAAATTAATCTAATTTTGACAATTAAAATTTAAAGACTAGAAAAGAGAAATCTTTCATTTGTAAATAATCCGAAGCAGTCATTAGGTATTGTAGTTACTGCTTGGGGGCAACAAATGTCAATGTTTTAAAACTTTGGTTAAAACATTTAACTGCATCTCATTACAGCTGAACCAAAACCATCACTTGACTCTTAAAACCTTGTCGACGCCCATGAAGGAGACCCAGTCCGGCACATCTCTCAGATTCCCCTGCACACGTAGTGTTAACCTTATTTATGATGATTCGTCACCTCGGTAGAGAAACAGTATGTTTACACTTGAAGTATTACCTTTCTTACTGATTTAGCACCTTTGAAAGGCCTGATTTTTGTTTTTGGGAGAGAAATCCACACTAATTTTCCTTTGAGATGCTGTCTAGTTTTGTTTTCAGCCATCTTGGTTGTTAGGAGTGCAGCTGGACGTCTTCATCGACTGACATCAGGACTCCAGGCTCCGTGGGTTCTGGCTGAGCCATGAGACTCGTGGTGAATTGATAACTCAGTGCTACAGTAGTACGGCTCTGTGTTCGTCCAGGTACCTTCTGGTTCAGTGGGAGCTTAGTTAACAAAATCCCTCGTGTGGGGAAATAACCTGCTGCTGGCTGTGTAACCATTTCAACTAATTTAACCGGAGTTAATAAAAACTGACATTTCAAATGAAGCTGGTGTTGGTGTATTGTTTACACACACACACACAAAAAAATATTCAGGACTGGTTGAGTTTTTTGTAAATGTTTTTAATTTATATAGTATTTATAAAAGGTATGTTTAGGTAAAACAAAGATCTAATTAAAGTTTTTTTACACTGACATTTTTACTGAAACATGCAATACAAAAGGACACAACCCAGCAGGTTAGTATTTGTCCAGTCATTACAGCTCGGTGGTTTTTCAACCTGTAAAACTTTAATCATAAATGTACACTGTGCCCATCAAAGCACTACTGTTCATTATAGAGGCAGAATGCACCAAGGAAGAAAAACAAAGGCCTTTATACAAACAAAAACAATAAAAAGACATCTTTAAATATTTTCTTTAATTACCATGAAACACTTTACCAGGTTCTGATTTATTGTGAATTAATTAAAAATTAAAAATATTGGATCTAAACACTGAAAAATGTCACGAAATGTACCCGTTTGTGTTTAGGAAGCAAGTAAAAATGAAGAAAACAAAACAGAGTTATCTTGTCATGTTACACATCTGATAATTTAGCCCACTTCAGCTCTTTTGGTTTTGATCACGTCAACACTAACAAAGTTGGCTTTAAAACTGCGCGACGCATCGTTAGCAGTCTTATTTTCTCCCCCTGAACTTCGCCTCCAGTGTGACACCGCAGCTCCCCACCAGGGGGCAGTAATCATCCTCAGACCTTGCTGCTCTTCCTCCTCTTCGGCTGGCTCTCCGCCAGAGCAACGGCTCGCTTGTTTCGATGGTGCGGGAACGTCGGCATCAGCTCCGGCTCGCAGGCTGGAATAGAAGACAGGCCGCAGGGGTTAGCAGAGGTCAGAGGTCATTCACTAACTGCTGAATAATAAACTCACGCAGAGGTTTCTCTTTGAAGTAGGAGCTCTCCAGACAATCTTTGGCGGTCGCTCTGGGTCAGGAAAACAGAACCGCACTTAAATCTCGACCACACCGTGTTGTAGGAGTAATAATAATGATGATAATAGTAAATCCATGCGTGCTACCTGCGCTGTGGGTTGTACATGAAGAGCAAGTTGAGCAGTCTGTGTCCAGCATCAGACAGCCAGGTGAACTTGTTCTTCAGGTTGTTGTATGGCTGCTTCCTCAGGCTGTACTGACCGATGAGCGGCAGCTGAGAGAAACCCTGCACCAAACACGTCGTCTTTATTAAACACTGCAAGAGACGGAGTCTGAGAGAAAGAGCTACTTCTACAGATTTTAGAGCAACAAATACACATTTGCACTCAAAACGCTCACATCTTTTTAGAAATTTACAAGCGTTTTCTGGAAAATTTCTGAGCTTTTTGGTGTGCCTTTTTTTTTTCCCCTCCATCTACAATGGCCCTGAAATGTACTTCCACACTCAAAACGTTCACAGTTACACACATGCAGGTAATAACATCCATTTCCCTCCAAGTTACGTACCGAGTTGTGGCGTTGGATTATGGCTGGTAATGTGAAAGCGCTTTGAATGTGACAGAACAGCTGGATATAAAAATGCGTCACGTTTATAACAGGGATTCAACGAAGTTAAAATGATACCAGTATCTAACCATATCGAGTCACAGAACTCAAAGACGTCCGAGAGCGACGTCTGTATTTTTGCCTGACAGAAAAGTCAGATTACGAGATTAACTAGTCCTGTCAAGACAAAATGCAAAACCTGAGACTGACATATGAAAGGCCAGCTTTAAAAACAAAAAGACATTTTAAGGCCTAATTTCAGATCCATGAATTTAAGACTCTTTTAAGGCTTTTTGCTTCAGAATGAGTCGGCTGCACTTTTATTAGAGGCATATATTTTTTTTTTTTTCTGCGCCGTTCATCTCTGGAGGGTTCACCCTCCTGGACCAGAGCCTCACCGGCCAGATGTTCTCGTTGGGCGTCCCCAGCAGCTGCACTATCAGGTCTACCTGCTGGATCTCCGAGGTTCCGGGCAGCAGAGGTTTGTGGGCCAGCAGCTCGGCCAGGATACAGCCCACTGCCCTGCGAAGGAAACGTCACGTCCTGCTTCATCTTTTACAGTGATGTCAGAGCAGCTGGCGTCTCTACAACTCGAGTACCGACGTGGCACATAAAAACCTCAGCACAGCGTGAGAACACCTTTTCTGCTCCTTAGAAAACCAAACTTGCAAACTCGATGAGACCCGCTGGGATTTCTCACCACATGTCCAGAGCTGTAGTTTGAGTCTTCGTCCCCAGGAGGAGCTCCGGAGCGCGGTACCTGCGTGAAGGAGAGGACATGGTTGGACTGCAGACCTCAATGAGATAATGAAGCTGGATTACTGCAGAGGATTAACGGGGAAGAGTTTCCACTGAGGCAGCGCAAGCACAGCAACACGGGGGGGAATTTCCACGGCGCATCGCACACAGATCAACAGGGATCAAACAGAAGGAGACCCGATTATTCACCGCCGTCACTTTTGGACATCATCTTCAACAAGGAGGCTGAGTTACTCAGGAAGCTGGCTCTTGACTCAAGAAGCTGGCTCTTCTTGCATATTAATGGGAAGTTGAGTGGAAGGAAAACGATAGGTAAGATATACCTGAAAGTTCAAAAATATGTTCAATCCCTCGTGTGAGAATGTGAAGAGGATGATATGACAAAAAGGCCTGTAGTTCCTCTGGAGGAGCTGCTTCTCACGTGAAAGAATCTGTTTGACACGCAGCTCTCCACAAACCCTTTTTGATCAACATGGAAAACAATAAATAAACTTAACACTTCACATTCGCCTGAAAACACCATGGGAAGTGAAATCACTACGATTCTCTTCAGGAGGGACAGGGAAGCCGGTCAGAGTTGATGGAGATGAATGCAGAGAGAACACCCGTTTAAAAATGCAGAGGTTGCACTACAGCACAACAACAAGCCTAAACATCCAGCCAGAGCTACAATGGAACAGTTTAGATCAGGGGTCCCCAAACTTTTTCCTGCGAGGGCCACATAGCTGTTCCTTTCTCAGGTTGGGGGCCGGTCTTAGGGTTTTGGAGAAAGAAACCTTAGAAAATTCTTATCGGGGGGGGGGGGGGCATTTCGCCTTTTATTGAG